TCAAATCATTGCTCAACCAACCAATTTTATGTATTTGCAATGCAAGATGTCGCTAAATATTGTTACGAGGATTTATTCATGTAGTGAATCGTTACAATCAATCTAAAATAACTATAGTTCTCAATGTTGAATACTGTTCGTTCCTTCGTGTTCAGGCAGGTTCTTCTTGTAGTAGTTTTTTAAAGTTCACTTCAAGCTTGAGCAGGTTTTCACCGTTCGTGATATGTTTGTTAATTCGTGATATGTTTGAGCTATGGAAGAGTGGGTTGGCTTCCAGCCCTCAAATTATGTTTATTTAAGGCGTAGTCACACTTGTCGAGTCGGTTCGCTGTTAAATCGATCAATGCCAAAACAGGTTCACAACTTTAAATATTTATGCAGGTCTTATAGTAAAAACTTCGAACTATACCTATGTGAACATAACTTTACCTACAAGACTAAATTTACTCGTAATTTTATTGAACTAAGATTCTGATGACGTAATATTTTAATTGCATGACCGAGTGTTGTCTAGCTTGGGATGACTCATATTTTATGCTTGAGTCTGTCCACGTGAAAGGTCAATGTTCATGAGATCTCAGGCAGCTGCTCTGTTTAAACAGATCTGCCCACAAGATAAACTATAGGAAACAGGTCAATCAAAACATGACATCTCCACATACACAACTGCGGCTAGTTTAACAAACTGTCATCGATTAATGAAAGAAATAATGAAGGTTTTCCGAAGAACCGAAATATTTACGTTACTTTCATTTGTGGCAAAATATCCATCATCTCTTCTCATTATGCTTAAAGTAATATTTGCTTGCATGAACATTTCACCTGCTCTCAAGCAAACATTTTGTGTTATTTTTTTTTTTTGCTAAAATTTTATGTATATGAGTGATAATGTTTCGTAGCAATATGTTTAGCGCGTTTATATGTCAAATGAAGGACCATGTGATGAATACACTTAGTATAAGTTTGAATTCGTCAATATGCAAGGCTGCGTGTCCTCTGTTGAGAATGGTTTTCAACCTCGTTTCCAGGTCTAATATTGGATCACATGCACTTGTATAATTATACGTTTCACTGTATAGCAGAAAATTACAAATATCAAACGCGAGTAATATAGTTGTTTTTAAAGATTGTACCACTAATAACTGTTCCCTGTTAGGTCATTTCCGCCTGGATTGACGTCACGGCGGGCTAAACATTAATATCATATCTTCCTACTTTATACTCTCCTGACCAGAAGGGCCTGCACTAAAAACGCCGCGAATTCTCATGAAATCACACCAAAGTTATTCTACGCTCTGGCCAGCATTCGCAGAGCCTTTTACGTACTGAAGTACATTATATTACACGAAACTATATTCATGGTCCTTCCATACTTTTACATATTAATGCACTAAACTAAAGTTAAGGTAATTTGTTGTAAAGAGCGACGCAAACTAAACAGCCAAATTGTCGAAATTTTGATGCCTAGCTCCAGCATGAAATTTCTTGACCGACTTCAGGTTAAGCCTCTGTTTGCCACGAGGTTTAGCCCGAATGGTCCAGATTTAGTTTCTTTCTTCGAGTCAATTTAAACCGTTGACGAGAATGGATGTGCATGGGTGTGATCACAATATGGTCGGGACATAACTCGAAAAGCCATAACTCGAAGATTATCAATAACTCGACTCAATTAATTGCGACAGAATTTGGAGCGACAAAATTTCAGCATATTAAGTTCTCGAGCCACTTTTACCCCCTTTATATTTCACTTCCAACGTGGCATATATCGGCAATAAACCTTTTCAAGTATAATGACGACAACGCGAATTAAAAAAAACTTAAAGCAATGTCACCTGGACAATATTGTTACGAAACATTATCACTCATATACATACAATTTTAGCAAAAAAAAAATAACACAAAATGTTTGCTTGAGAGCAGGTGAAATGTTCGTACAAACAAATATTACTTTAAGCATAATGAGAAGAGATAATGGATATTTTGCCACAAATGAAAGTAACGGAAATATTTCGGTTCTTCGGAAAACATTCATTATTTCTTCCATTAAGCTATGACAGTTTGTTAAACTAGCTGCAGTTGTGTATGTGGAGATGTCATGTTTTGATTGACCTGTTTCCTATAGTTTATCTTGTGGGCAGATCTGTTTAAACAGAGCAGCTGCCTGAGGTCTCATGACAATTGACCTTTCACGTGGACAGTCGACTCAAGCGTAAAATATGAGTCATCCCAAGCTAGACAACACTCGGTCATGCAATTAAAATATTACGTCATCAGAATCTTAGGTCAATAAAATTACGAGTAAATTTAGTCTTGTAGGTAAAGTTATGTTCACATAGGTATAGTTCGAAGTTTTTACTATAAGACCTGCATAAATATTTAAAGTTGTGAACCTGTTTTGGCATTGATCGATTTAACAGCGAACCGACTCGACAAGTGTGACAACGCCTTAAATAAACATAATTTGTGGGCTGGAACGAGCTACCAAAGCCAACTCACTCTTCCATAGCTCAACGTTGATTGGCTGGATACAGGTCATACCACTTGCTAGATCACGTGTACAGAGATCCCTTCGACCGGTAGTATAAAAGGACGTGCACAATCGAAAGTCGACAGTGGACGACGTAGACAAAGTAAAGCTTAACTGATGAAAAGCTACAGAAACTCAAACGAAACAAACGAACGAACGACGAAGAAATTAACAAACATATCACGAACGGTGAAAACCTGCTCAAGGTTGAAGTGAACTTTAGAAAACTACTACAAGAAGAACCTGCCTGAACACGAAGGAACGAACAGTATATTCAACATTAAGAACTATAGTTATTTTAGATTGATTGTAACGATTCACTACCTAAATAAATCCTCGTAACAATATAGTAATTAGAGCGACGTAAAATGTCAGTCAACAGGTTTTAAGCGTTTCGGTTATATTTGAGATTGACTCTTCCATGTTTTTCCACTCCGTGTTGCATCCAGTGGACGCCACTTCGTACGCGCTGTGAATTACTTTGTTACATGGCTCAAAATGATGCTCCCCACAGTTTTCAATATATCAGTGTTTTAAGCTGAAAGCTAGTTGAACCTAAAAAAGCCCAATTTTTTGCACAAGTCATTGTTTCCTCTTATATAAGTAAAGTAATTTTAACCCACAATCGCTACTCTTCATGTTACTATGAAAACATGACGTCACCATCTATATGGCTTATGTCAACCAAAAAAGCCGTCTTAGTGGACAAATAACCACGGTGACCTACTTTCTTATTGCAAGAAATAAATTTTTATGAAGTTTTGAATCTTTTTTTGAAAGTTACTTGAAAATCGCCAGTGCAGTTTTCGAGAAACTAAATTTCAGCTGTTCCAAAGACTAAATGCAATCTCAAAGGCTGAAATTCAGTTTCTTGAAAATGACACTGGCGATTCTCAAATAACTTTAAAAAACGATTCAAAATTTCATAACAATGTACTTCCTGCAATAAAAAAGGGAGGTCACCGTGGTTATTTGTCCGCTAAGACGGCTTTTTTGGTTGACATAGGCCATACAGATGGTGACGTCATGTTGTCATGGTAACGTGAACTCTTTCAGATAAGAGGAAACAATGGCTTGTGCAAAAAATTAGCTTTTTTGATTGAAATAGCTTTTAGTTCCTTAAGACACTGATAAATATTGAAAACTGTAGGGAGCCTCCTTAATTCGAAGTTCACCTACTTCAATTGAGTCATAGGACCTTCTCGATAATTGCGTCATAAGTACTCACTTGATCTGCGATTGCCACAACGAAGGCCTACCTACAGCAAGTGTTTGAGGGAGTAGAGAGTTAATTAGTGTGGACTGTCGTGCGACATCCAAGGACAGGTTACCCGACACTAGCTAGCGATTGTCTCAGCATTGACGCGCGTTTGACCTTCCATTTGAACTAGCTTCAGATATAAATTAATCTAACATTTCATTTTTTAAGTATTTTTATCTTTCCTTCTGTTTTAGGTATGGCTAAAGAAACCTTTTACTCATGTTACATATTGTTGAACTTTGTCCGCTACATATTGGTGGACTTTGATTTGTGCAGATACTTTCATCTGCATGATCTTTGAACTTTAATTTGACCAATATGTCTAAGTTAGGCCCACAAAGGCCACAATTGCAATGATATTTTAATGTTTATTATAATGTATTGATGACATTATTGACTTACGGATTGAATGAAGATTCCATTGTAACTGTATTCAATAAATATAAATAATATAAAACAACTGCACCTTGTCTATTTTTGATCAAATAAAGTACAATGGAGGCTCCGAATTTCATTTATTTTTATTATAATTGTCCGTTTCGAGGACGATCATACAGATTAGTCGAAACCTAGAATCATAATTTTTTTTGGAGTCCCCATTGTATACTGTATCTTATATTAATTAGTACTAAAGTGGTCCAGGAAGCAACCAATCCTTGAGCACTATCCAATAGCAGCAATAGCACCTGCGAATTTCAATAGCACCTGCGAATTATTGTGGGATTTTCGTATTTGCGAGAACTTGACACTAAATTCGCAATTATAGCAAATATTAATAATGACTTCATATTCACTGTAAATTAAAAAGGGCTGAAACGACCCCAAAATTGGGGCCAAAACGGTGACCGCAAAATAGATCTTTTTTGGGGGGTCAAAATGGCACCTATAACAATGCGGCCCCTAAGGGGTGATTTGGCCCTTCCAGTGCAAGGGCTGTTTCAGCTTTTAGTAGGAGCTGTTATGGCAAAAAATGGCTGGCGAAAGGCTGGCGAAATTTCCGATCTTAAAAAATTTCGACCTATCTCTATTTTACCTGTGCTTTCAAAGATCATTGAACGACATGTACACGACTGTCTGTTTTACTATCTCACTATAAATAATCTGATATACTCCAATCAATCCGGTTTTCGAAGCGAATTTGGCACAGAAACTGCTGTTGCATTTATCGTTGACTCTCGTTTACTCAACCTGGATAAAAATCTCATTAATGGCATGGTCCTAGTCGACAATAAGAAAGCCTTTGACATGGTTGATCACTGTATCCTGCTTGATAAACTTGGAGCATACCATCTTGATCAGAGTTCGCTTGATTGGTTTAAATGCTATCTATCAGACCGTAAACAATATGTTAACTTCAAATGCCAGTCTTCTACAACAAAAGTAATCACGGACGGAGTACCACAGGGTTCTATCCTTGGGCCTCTATTGTTTCTCGTTTTTATAAACGATTTGTCTCTACATATCAACACCCAAGTAGATTTATTCGCTGATGACACTACCTTACTCGCTGCCACTGATTATAATGATATTAATGAACTTAACGAGAAATTAGCTCTGGAAGTCTCTAACGTTCAAAACTGGGCCATTACCAATAAACTGCCTCTCAATACCACTAAGACTAAAACCATTCTGATTTCTGGTAAACGTCTTAAATCTAAGCTTACTCCTGAAAATCAAACTCTCGATATTAAATTCAACGATGATTCATTAGAACAAGCGCACTCTGTGAAATTACTGGGCTTTAATATTGATGAAGATTTAAACTTTGACACTCATGTTGATATAATGGCAATGAAACTATCGAAACGTATTGGAATATTGAAGTCTATAAAATCCTACCTGCCTCGAAACGAACGTATTCTTTTCTACAATGCTATGATCAAACCTCTATTTCTCTATTGTAGTATAACCCCTGGACAAACTGTAGTAAGAACAATATCACTAAAATTTTCAAACTTCAAAAACGCTGCGCCAGAATTATCCTTGACGCTGAACCTCGCCATTCCTCGATTAATCTATTTAATAATCTTGGTTGGTTACCTTTTTACGTAGAGTCGGATATCAGAAAATGTATTATGATCTACAAGCGTACTATTAATGCTACTCCGGAGTACTTAAACAGACTATTAAATTTAAATAGCCAACAACATTCGAGGAACACTCGCAGTGCTGATTTAAGTTTAGTAACTCCGAAATACAATAGAGCTACAGAAGCAGGAAGAACTTTTTCTATAACCGCTATAGGCCTCTGGAACAAATTACCTTTAAGTTTTCGTTCTGCTAGCTCCATTAACTGTTTTAAATACTTATTATATAATTGCTTCCGTACGCACCAGAGTGAATTTAAACAATTTACTTCTTTTCCTGATTTCAAATTTAAGTAATATATAATTGTAATATAGCTAATGTTCTCTTTTATATAAATGTAATGTCATATATACCTCATGTAATATAACCTTTTTAATTAAGTAAACTTGAAAGTCAACTGAATATTGATTTATAATCATATATATATATTATAATCATATATATATATATATATATATATAAATGTTGTAAATAGACAATTGATATACTCCCTAATTTTTGTAAATTTTATGAGGGCCACAAGTTCATTAGTATTTCGTACTATTAAGTGTCACCCTCTTTAAATAAAGTCTCTATCTATCTATCTATCTATGTCATATTTGATCTCACTTCTCCCATTGTACTGGTATACAAACAGTACTCTTGTAATCGAGGGCATCATGAGATAAATGGTGTAGATGTCGATGTTTTAAAGCAAATTGATAATTGGAACGTGCCATGCACACTAAGTCATAAGTCGGGGTTTCACAAACAGACTTGTCGACCATTTAGAAGAGTTACTAGACACAGGTCTTAGCTCCACCCAGATCTGTGAAATTATAAGGCGCTGTTACAAAAAAGCATATTACGAACGGGCGCAAAGTTATTACCATGATTATAACAACATAAAACGCTCTCTGAGTTTCCAGCGATATACATACCCTTTTCTAGATATATACCTAATAATAATAAGCGAACGAACGAATGTATTCCTTCCACTCGTGAGCTCATTTACCATTGTCACATATAGTAAATGTCCAGGCCTTGTGACCCTGGATGGGCACTTAAAAGGAAAGAATACACACACACACACAAAGGTTTATTTATTCAACCATTACAAGAGAACGAATGAACAACTGCGCATGAACGAACGTCCAAAGTGAATGCCGCTTGTTAGCCACCTACCAAATTATCATTAGCAAACAATATGTCTCACACAACTCATTTCCTTGTCGTCATATCATAACAAACCATATCAGGAAATATGAATATCAATTACAAACCTTTAGTCAAATCCATGACCTTCAGGAATATTTACCTACAACTGTAGGATTTAAGTGCAAAGCACCAAAATAATAATATGAAATTGGTCGAAGACCCGTACTCAGGAAATAAAATAACAACATAAAACGCTCTCTGAGTTTCCAGCGATATACATACCCTTTTCTAGATATATACCTAATAATAATAAGCGAACGAACGAATGTATTCCTTCCACTCGTAAGCTCATTTACCATTGTCACATATAGTAAATGTCCAGGCCTTGTGACCCTGGATGGGCACTTAAAAGGAAAGAATACACACACACAAAGGTTTATTTATTCAACCATTACAAGAGAACGATTGAACAACTGCGCATGAACGAACGTCCAAAGTGAATGCCTCTTGTTAGCCACCTACCAAATTATCATTAGCATAACAATATATCCATATTCATATTAATAATATATAATAATATAATAATAATATATAATAATATATTTATAATATATTCATATTTCCTGATATGGTTTGTTATGATATGACGACAAGGAAATGAGTTGTGTGAGACATATTGTTATGCTAATGATAATTTGGTAGGTGGCTAACAAGAGGCATTCACTTTGGACGTTCGTTCATGCGCAGTTGTTCAATCGTTCTCTTGTAATGGTTGAATAAATAAACCTTTGTGTGTGTGTGTATTCTTTCCTTTTAAGTGCCCATTCAGGGTCACAAGGCCTGGACATTTACTATATGTGACAATGGTAAATGAGCTCACAAGTGGAAGGAATACATTCGTTCGTTCGCTTATTATTATTAGGTATATATCTAGAAAAGGGTATGTATATCGCTGGAAACTCAGAAAGCGTTTTATGTTGTTATTTTATTTCCTGAGTACGGGTCTTCGACCAATTTCATATTGTCATGATTATAACATTGCCAAACATATTGGCATCATAGGAATTTTCCAACTTTTGAGCAAATGGATTTTCCATCGGAATTTTCCAACTTTTGAGCAAATGGATTTACCATGTGTGGGGCATACACTGGTTGCAGGTGCAATTATTTCAAGATTTAAGTCAGAAGAATACTTTACCAGCAGTTTTTTTCAACAATCCCTGCCAAGTGGATTAGTTGTGATCATACATTTAAAGCCACTTCAAACATTGGATATTTATGCGAAAGTGATAAAAAGTGGGGAAAACAATTCCAAAGCTTATTTTGTGTGTTAAATGAAAAGGGTACAGTGATACAGTACTTGATACTTTATTAAATTAATTTAAAAGACGTTACAACATACATTACTATCCGCTAATAGCTTAGCTAATCGAGGCGGATAGTAAATTAGCACTCCTGTATATATTATATATTTACATGATCATGAGTTATATTTAGAAAAAAAAGAAAAAGTTGTGGATAATATATATAAGCAACCAATTCGATTCAACCAAAATAAACAGGAAAGCTACACACAAGACAATAATTTCATTGTTTAGCCATCAATTGTATTAACATAGGCACACCAACATAATCGTCCTCAAGTTTTAGTATAGTTAAGAGCGTTTTATGTACTGTTTAATAAACGAGCAGGAGTGTTTTATTAGTTTTAAAGACACGAGCGCGCAGCGCGAGTATCTTTAGACCTAATAAAACATGACCTGCGAGTTTATTAAACGGCTTCAAACACAACTACAAATTCAATAGATATACCGCCTTATTAGTATTCTTTATATAAAAAATACTAATGAGGACACAACAACAATAGATACTACCTTATTAGTATTCTTTATATAAAGAATACTAATTAGGTGCGTTTTATCAGGTTTAAAGCCACTGCACGTGACATATTGTGGTTGACCTGATTTGCCAATATGCTTATGAATTATTAATGAGTGTTTGAAGTATTGTTTTAGTAAACTTATTTTTTCCAAATTCACATACATTGTCAGAAATATTATTCCATATTTTTGCTCGAGTTTTACAAAAGATTCGTTATGTTTGTTTAATCTTGAGTATTGAATGTAAAAATTGTTAGCTGTGCAATGTCTAGTGTTATGGGTGTGCATATGTCTTGCCTGGATGAAACAATCAGAAATTGCACATGAGCAAGAACTATTAGAGACATCATACATTAAGTTACACACAGTTTTATAATATAGCATATTTAAAGGAATGATATTTAAATTACTAAACAACAGGATGGCATGTTCTTTATTATTTTTAAAATTAATCAGGCGCAAAGCCCGTTTTTGGAGAATAAGAATCTTATTTAAATAAACATTTGATGCCTGTCCCCATACAATTATACCATAGGTTATATATGGCAGCATTAAACATTGATATATGCTGTAAAAGTATAGTGTGGTCGACAGTATCAAATGCTTTCTTTAGGTCAATAAATATACCACACGAGAACAATTTTTTGTCCATGTTATTTTGTATGTTATTAACGATGTCAATAATGGCATGTTGTGTGGAATGTTTTGCTCGAAAACCATATTGTTTTTCATAAAAGGTCTCGTTTTTATCAAAAAATAGTTTAACTCCTTTTCGACCGGTCCTGTGAAAACTATTGCAGAACTGAAATAGTATTTTGGAGGTTCATATCTTCGGTTCAGTACATGCTACGTAGCTGAAAATACCACCATTCGATTCAGCGAGATAATATCTCCTGATTCCTAATGATAGTTGTAGTCAAAGACAAACATTATAGCGATTTATGACCTTTGAAGGGTCAAGAGGTGTCATATTTCAACAAATTACATATTTGTTCGAAAAATGTAAACAATGTATTACTAAGCCATACCTTTCGCCAGACACAACTTTGGCCCCTTCGAACATGTCTTTTTCGTTGTAGTCTTGTTCGATTCACAATCAAAAACACTATTTACAGTGTTATTTTGAACCTTGTAGCCTCAGTTTTTCGTCTTTTATTTCGATATTTCAATCTGTTGCGATATTAGTGAACTCAGCGGGATATTTTTTGACCGGAAATAGGATTTAGATTCGCCAAAACATCGCGTGTTTACATCCTAGCGCTCGGGAAACGTCGGAAATCGATTCTAAAGGTCAAATTACATCTGCAGCATGATTTGCACGTGCATCGGGTTACAGGTACTTCTTATTCGCCAATTTTAGCGTGTGGCAGGCGCATGTGAGTAAAAACCCGATATTTTTAAAAACTCAAAATAAAGATTTGTACTGGCTGTATTCAAGTGAAATTCTGGATATAAAAGCGCTTGAATACAGCACATATTTCACTCATATTGATTTGTGGCGAACTCTGAAGAATTCACAAGTTATATACGCTATTGTGGAAACAAAATTCTGAATGTTTGGTCAAGCGGTGAGTAAATATATGATTGTTTCGGTTTGTGTGATGCTTTGACGGCATTCGACCCCCCGTTGAAAAGGTTATTTTATTAGGATCTCAATGGTATTCTTTGTTTTAAAGGGGGGTGAATATGCGCTGAGATATTTACGTTATAAACAATTGAGTTGTAAATCGTCAAAATGTCGCTGGTCGATAAAGAGTTAAGTCGTTTATACATTAATTTTTCAAACAATTGGTTAAAATTAGAGAGCAGCGAGATTGGTCTATAGATTCCTGGGTCAGTTACATCATCAGTTTTATAAATTGGAACAACTTTGGCACGCTTTAGTTTTGAAGGAAATACTCCTGTTTGAATTGAAAGATTTATTATTTGAGCTAGTGGCCAAGATATTTGCTGTTTTATACATTTTAGGATGCGTATAGGACATGAGTAAAGTCCATCTGCTTTATTACAAGGCATTGAAGTAATTTCAAATTCAACCTCAGAGGGGATAACAGGGTTATAAAAGAACGAATTGAGATAATTGTGGCTATTAAGGTATTGACTAAAATGTGTGTTTGAATTGGGTAATTTAGAAGCTAATTTCTTACCAATGGTTGAAAAATATTTGTTAGAATGTTAGGAATATCTTTGGGATTCTTGATCATTTCCTGTTTAATTGGGCATCTTAACGCTGTGACAGTTTTATGGTTCTTTCTCTTGCAGTTTATCAGGTTGTTTATGCCCTCCCACGTTTTTCTCATGTTTGTAAGGTTGTTATTGAAATATTCTTGGAAATAAGATTTTTTGCTAATTCGTGTTAAGATTGTTATTTTGTTTCGATATAGTTTGTACTTGTTTTTGTCCGCAGAATGATATAATTTGTTTTTTATTTTAATTAACTTTCTTATTCCTTTAGTTATCCATGGTTTAGAAAATTGCTTTATCATTCGTGTAGAAATAAGTTTTAATGGGGAATATTTGTTTGTTAAATTATTTACTTTATCGTAAAAAGTGGTGAATAGTTGATCTATATTGTCCCTTTTATTCGCGATTATAGAATTCCAATTAATTTGTGCTATATCAGCATTAAAACCAGACTCTGAGAAATGAGAGAAATCTCAAATTTTTTTCTGATGTTTTGTTTGCCATTTGTCTGGTTGATTGATGCAGAACTGTGAAAAGTGGTCGCTAATATCTGACACAATATTCCCGCTTACGATTGAATTTTCAATTTTATTGACAAAAATATTGTCAATTAAAGTTGCTGAATTGTTATACACCCTAGTGGGCTTGTCAATTGTTGGTGTTAAAACATAACTTTGAAGAGTAAATAAGAAATTTTGAGTATATTGGCAAGTTTGAGCCTTGAGGAGGTTTATGTTGAAATCACCCATTACATATATAGGTTTGTTTGAGCCTGAAGCGCTAAATTTATCTAGAGTGTCTTCAAAATATGCTTGAAAGCTTTCTGGAGAATTATGTTGCCTATACACTACTCCACATATAAGGTTTGGTTTGTTCTTAAAGTGAATTTCAACCCAAAGAGCTTGAAAAGCTTTATTAGAATTTTTTTCTAAAACTGTGTAACTCAAGTCATCTCCAAGTTGCGTTTCAAGCTCCTCACGTTGTTATGTAACATCGAGAAACTGGTATCTGTGATACGATTTGACTGTGATTTCTTAAGACTGTTGAATTTATGGGGTGAATAATATTGAGATCGTAAAATCTGTTGATTTAAATTTACATCGGGATTCGCATCAGGGGCTGTGTTCAAATTAATACAGTGGAAATTTACTAACACAGAATGTACATCTGAGCTAGAAAATGTATTTTGGCAACTTTTACAACGATTTACGGCACAAATTATAGTTTTAGATGGGATCTTCCTGGACAATTGCTGCAAATGGACAATTCTTGGGCAAATATTTCCTTGGTGTTTGTATGAACTTGGACATTTTTCACACAGTACAACGAGTAGTACGGAAAATACCAAAATGTTCTAAATATTCTTCTGACATGGCTAAAGAATATGGCTTAGTTTTTCATCAACCAGGAGACATTGGAAAAGAAAGGTCTTCACCATCTCCTCCACTTGACAATCTTGAGAAACCTACAAAAATGTTGCCTAAAATGCAAGTCTATACAAAGTGCAGCTGGTACAAATGTTCTGACAAAAGAAATGCTAAAAGAAATACGGAACATTAAGGTTCATATCAATAAGGGCTGTTTATCAGACATACCCGTCGGTTGCGGAACAAACAGAAATGTAAGGCTACATTGAGATTTGAAAAAGATTGTTGCCACAAATCGGATAGGTCTTCCTTTGTTGTACACAAAGATGTTCAGAATGCTTTACAGATTAGCTCAAGAAAAAGAGAAAGAATACCATCCATTCACTAAATAAAAGCCCCACTACAAAAAGAAATGCTAAAAACGAAATTGAGGCATAATGTAATCTTGGAACCCCGTTATTGGAGAACTAATCACAGTGTGGTAATTCCAGCCATGTAGCCAATTGTGTGTAATAGTTTGTGTTAACTAATTTTGTGTAATAGTTTGTGTAAAATGGCAAAATCTGTAAAATAAAATGTAGAGCACTTTGGAGTGGGAAAATCTTTAGAGGAAATAGAAAGAGGCCATATTACTTAAGTACAATCACGCGGGACAAGGTCATTATGATGCACTAGTTCACAGAACTCAATGAAGCTGAACACCAAAGCGAGGCCAGCATTGCTACTGATGAAAAGAATTCGAAATCCACTGAAGAGTAGCGTGTCACTGCGGAATAAACTGTCTAGCAAAGCTGCCATTGCAATAAAAATGCAAATAAAAGCCGGTGTAGGTGCATTCCGCATTATGGTATTTGCTGCGACAAATGCAGGTGTAAAAGGCCATATTGTGGTGAAACTTTAAAAATAAAATGCAAATCAAGCAAAAGAAAACAACAAGCAATTGAATCATCACCATTTAAGACCTCTCGCATTTTCTATGAGCAGCAAACAAGATTGCAAATTGAAGAGCCATTCAATTGGCTGGAATTTCTGATACTAATGGTAATTTATGTTGCATTCAAAGGAATGAAGCAGGATAAAAACAATAATTATAGCAATGACGTTTGGGAAATTTACAACAAGTTAATTGAACTGGTTTTGCAGCACGATTTTTTGTGCATTTTGCCAGTGTTCAGCAAAACATTGGAACAAGTGCAGAAAAATATAAAAAAGAAAACTTCAAAACATATCCACTAACTGATGCCATACAAAAACATAGGTCTTTTCAATACTTATCATAACCAAAATTCTCATATCATTTTACAGATAAATAAATAAACCCCCTATCCCTATTAAGCCCTGCTTCTCTAATACCAAAACCCAAAAAGTGACTAAAAACCAGTGAAGGCTTAATTATAGAAGCATAGAAACGTAGAAGCATATAATTATAGAAACATAGAAACATAGAATCATATAGAAGCATAGAAACATATAGAAACATGGAAGCATAGAAACATGGAAGCATAGAAACATGGAAGCACAGAAACATAGAATCATATAAACATACAGTGTGTATAAAAAAAACTCAACCCTTCCAAATTCAAATTAGCTATAAAGTATTGTAGTAATTTGACAGCTCTAATTGCTTTAAATTAATGGTTGGACAAGAACACTAGGTCTTGTACTCATGGGACAAAACTCAAAGAAATAAAATTTAAAAATTCAGAAGAAATATGTTAAAATTAAGAGATATGTTAAAATTCAGACCTGCAGAAATGACAAAATGGGTCAGTTCACTGCAGAGCAGCGAATATTTATGTTGTTACATTACGACTATCTGCGGCGACTTCGATTCCCTCAGTGGTTCAACCAGAAATGGAAAGAAGACCCTCATTTTTTGGATCATGTGGTAATTGGAGATGAGGCATCTTTCATAATGGATGGAGAACTTAACTCGCGCAATGTTCGACTGTACGCACCTAAAGGACATCCTCCAGAGTTCAATTTCAACAGAAGTGATTCTTGAGCGAAGCTTACTGTGTGGGCAGGACTCTGCGGGAATGGTGTCATTTTACGTCCGTACTTTTTTTGAGGGAAATGTGGACGGCGTTGCATACCTCCAGATGTTGCACGAATATGTCTTGCCACTTCTTGCTATGCATTTCAGGGACCACTTTGAGAATGGATTGTTTTGCGACCTTTGGTGGGCTCAGTATGGCGCCCCTGCCCATCGACTGCTTGAAGTGAAGGATAGGCTGAATGGAGTATTCGGAAATGACCATGTGATCGGGTTGGGTCACAACATGGAATGGCCTCCCAGACAGATCGCCAGATTTAACACCTTCTGACTTTTTTTGTGGGGCTATCTCAAGGGGAAAGTATTTTCCAGCCCACCTCATGATGTGAATATTCTACGCCAGAGAATCATCGCGGAATTTAATACTTTGTGGAATAACCCTAACTTTATTACTAATGCAGTGCGCCATATGCAAAAGAGAACAACACTTTGTGTTCAGAGAAATGGAGGACAAGTTGAAGGACATGGCGCTTGAATCCCAGTAAAAGTCATAACCCGTTTCAGAATATTTTATCGTTGACAGGAGTCTCTTCAAAAAATTGTAAATTATCTGTGGATGAATTAAGTCAAGAGCAAATTATTGTAAATACGTTTAAAGACCTTGTACAAAATCAATTTCCTATGGCAAATTAAAGAAAAACCTGTGAGTTGTGCTTTAATTTATGCATATTCATTTGACAGGGGATTAGCCCAATCAAATTACTAGAATACTAGCTAATTTGAATTTGAAAGGGTTCAGTTTTTTTATACACCCTGTAGAAGCACAGAAACATAGAACATAGAAACATAGAAGCATAGAAACACAGAAATAGATCTACAGGGTGTATCAAAAAAAGCGCAATCCTTGACTGAAATGTAAATTGCTAAACAAATAGATGAAAACGTTAAAGTTTACATTCATTTTAAAGCGTAGCCATTCAGCTTTCTAACAGTGGGTTGTTTCTTAAATTTGACTCATTGGTTCGCGGGTAATAATACTTTACGTTATTGCGATTGGAGATTAAAAAAATTGAGATGGAATAACAAATCGTTCTCATGAAAATAACTGATTTTTCATTAAAACAAACAAATGTTGCATTTTATTAAATGGATTGTAACAATAAGTATAATTACCGCTTTTCTTCCACTATTTTTAACTCAGTTTGAAACTTCAAATGCGATATAATTTTGGCTTGGACCATCTAAGCTGACTGACATCAACTTGCTATAATTTCTATTTACATTACATCGCAATTCGATGGCACTCTGGCTCAGACACCAGAATGTTTTGACGATTTTTAGCATTCGTTTAGGATTTTCAAACAACCTGGTCTCTTTTAAAATACTTTTAATTTGTTCTTACATGGTTTTCCAGATGTAGTGACGACAACATTAAAGTTTAAAGAAGAAAATTCTAAAATTTAAACCGACTAAACAATAACATAGTAAACTTGCATAATTAAACAGCAACTAAAAATGATAGGTTTTACTAAATCTTTTCCTGTGCAATTATTACTAACATTGGAGACAAGGATAATAGTTTGTTTGAAAGAGAAAAGAACAGGCTTTGAAGTAAGCCTAAAAGCGTTTAACTAGAAATAGTATTTCGAAAGTTATTAAGCACAAAAGATGAATTGCGTTTATTTTGATACACCCTGTATATGCTATATTTCGGTATGGTTAATTTATGCTTGCATAGTAATTAACTAATTTTTATAATATATTTCATGACTCCTAACATGGGGGCTTATAACCCTTATATAGCTGTTACTCAAAGAACCGTGTAGAGAATGGCCATGCAAGCAAGTAAAAATGATGGTTCACTCAATTACTGTTGTCACAATACACACCCAAATACCACATTCTGTGCTACACTACTTTGTCTAGTTGTTGGGTAATTTTACTCATCATTGGAAAGACCTTGCACACTAATGGTTAACATAGATTTCTTTAACTATGTTGTAATGGCCCCTACCAGCCAAAGTTGAAGCATTATCCAGAAAGCCAAGATATCTCAACAAAAAAACAGTGTAGATTTTCAAGCGGGTGGTATAAGGAATATCCACATCTAGCGTATAGCGTGAAAGAAGACACAGCCTCGTGTTTTGTTTGCTGTCTATTTCCAACTGGAGTTGGTAGAGAGAGATCTTCTGATGGTTGGGTTAAAGGATGGTACAAAATGAAAAGCGTTGGCAAGGAAAAAAAAGGGAAATTAGCCCAGCACTTCTCAAGCCAAGTGGATAAAGCTGCATTAAGCAATCTTGCCCAATTTGCACACAACATGAAGCATGTCGATGTTATGCTCAATAAGCAATTGAGGGCGGCCAAAATTCAAGAGGACGAAAACAACCAACAAAACCAGGAGATAATATTGGACATTGCTAAAACATTAGGAAGACAACAACTGGCATTCAGAGGCACTAATGATGATGCTGATGGAAATTTTCTCCAAATAACAAATCTTGTGGCACGCCATAATAGCCATTTAAAGAATTCGTTGTCAAATAAAAAAGATGAAGCCATATTCTGTGAAATATTTATCTACTATCTCTCAAAATGAGTTCATCAACATCACAGCTGAAGATGTCAAAGACCGAATTGTCAATGAAATTGAATCTGCAGGAATGTATTCAGTTATGGTTGACACCTCCCCTGACACAGCAAATACTGATAGACTTGTCGTGGCGATGTGGTATGTCAATGAAGAAAATCAGCCTAAAGAACGAGTTTTGGAAATGAAGTAACTAAGGACAAGTCTGGTGAGGGTCAAGTGAAAGAAGTCTTGCAGTGGCACAACTCATAAATTGGAAGCCAAGATGCACTGGTTTATCAGTCCTACGATTACACTGCATCCATGTCAGGGAAATTCAAAGGAGCCCAAAAATGCCTGCAAACATTGGTAGGCTGTTCACTGATCTAATACATTCATCGAACACTGCTCAAAAACAATGTTGTTTACTCAGATGTATGACCTATTGGAAGCACTCTGTCTTCTTCAGTTAAAGTTGCAAGCGAGATGGTGTTCTTCATAAAGAGCTGAAGAAAATAGAGAATGTGCTTAAGCTGTGTAACCTTTCCAAGACTCGCTGGGTGTACAGAAGCGAATCTCTATAGAATTCGTGTGGAGATCATTCGAAGCCATCAAAGATGTCTTGTTGACCTTATCGATGATGGACGGCGTTGATTCATCAGCGCAGACCAGGGCCGCTTCTCTTCATGGCAAAGTGCTAAAATTAGATTTCATGTTTGCGTTGATGTTCATGCATTTGATTATGGAGATTACCAAAATACTTACCATTCAAATGCAGACGGAAAAACTTAACATTTTAGATGCTCTCATGGCAATCGAAGAAACTGTTGCTTCTTTAGAAACGATAAGAAGAAACGAGTCAGAAATGAATAACCAAGTGAAAGCTAGTGTTGAATTTGCAAAATCATTCGATCAGGATCCTGAAGAGGACTTTCGTTGCAAAAGAGTTAGAAGGATGAGCAGACAACAGGATGACAACCCAGATATCGCAGCTTCCACTGAGTTTTCGCAGCTTCCACTGAGTTTTATGCGCACTACCGAAAGCTTATGATTGAAGTACTCGATTCACTTATTACGGAGTACAAAGAAAACGTCCAACAATGCTTGGAAAAGATTCAACCTCTTGCAGACATTCTTCAACCTCCGATTACAAGTGTGGTATAAGCATCTGATACTGTTGATCCTGCTTGTCTAGAAGCAGAATTTGAAATATTTCCACAGGTCGTTGGAAGCAGCCAAGATCCTTTCAAGTCTGTTCATGAAGTCTGTAATCTGGCATATGAACACAAGTCGATCTTTCCTTCCATTTTTAAAGTATTTAAGCTTTTGTTTACTGCCCCAGTCTGTGTGGCAAAAGATGAGAGGACATTCAGTAAGATGAAGATCATCAAGAATTCCCTGCAATCAACCATGTCAGAAGAACGTCTCGAAGATTTGATTCTCTTAGCAGCTGAAAAGGATTTGACAGACAAAGTCAATCTAGACAAAGCTCTGAAAGTGTGGGCTAGCAAAAAGAATCTGAAACTGAAGATTAAATTCTAAAGTTTAATAATTAGTCTTCAGTAACATTATCGATGTATCGTATGCAAACTTGGCAAGCAGGAAAGCAAATAACTCTATAAATTTCTATTTGGCATTTTTGTTTGTGCTAATGTCTCTGCTTGCCTAATTAGTTCTATAAAAACAATAATTCGTTATTCGTTTTGAAACATGATAGATTTTAAATGACTGTATTGACATACCGTTGACGATGATGTTATAGTAATAGTAATAGTGCATATTCACAATATACATTAGCAAATACTTCTGTAGAACTACTGTCCACACCCCTTTTTATCGGGCAAAACTTGATTTTATTGGGCAAATATATTGTTGACACCCCCCAAATGCTGATACCCAAGTTACGCCCCTGTGGCCATGCTTCACCGTCCATGTATGGTGAGGACCAAAATTTGATTAAGAAATATGCCGCTCAAGGCTAATTTCCACTCCGGATAATAAACAGCAGATCGGACCGGATCGGAGGTTTTCCTGATCCAGCAAACGATTTCCGGTAAAAGGGCAAGTGGAATGATCGGATCGGAAAAGGGGAAAAATGGAGCTCGTTCCAGTCTCACATTCTCCATTTTGTAAATTTTATACAGGTATTGAATTATTTTAATTTATGTGAGATAATATGGCATTCTGATTGGCCGCCAGGTTTAATTCGCGGATCGGACAAAAAAAAGTTGAAAATATTTCAACTTTTTATTATCCGTCCAGCAACATCACCAGATCAATCAGAACCAAAAATTTCTACTTATGGCGCATGCACCGATTTTGTTTTGTTCCAATCTGCTGCTTATTTTCCGGAGTGTAAATTAGCCTTTAGATTGCAGGAAATGATGTTTCCGGGCATCAAATTTCAAAATTGTTTCAGGGGAGCATGCCCCCGGACCCCCTAGTTATGCAATGTCCAGGAGCCACAATCACTTTTTGGTCTGGGTCCGCCCCTGATCTTTAAGGATGAGGCCTTGGTATATTAGTTTGCAAAAGTATAATTTAATTAAAATTTGAGTGGTAGGTCCAAGGTCGTTCTTTAACATTTTTAAAATCAACCACAATATTAAAAGTTCATGAACAGGCTGTTTTGAATGGTATACCTGAAGCACTGCAACAGCTGCATGTGTACAAAACAGTATGAAGTTTAAAATTACAGATATGCATGCTATGTGCATGTGTAGTGAAATGTTTTCAAGAGAAACCAACTCCATCAACTTGTTCAAATCTAAAGTTAAGACACACCTCTTTCAAGAGGCTTTTTTATAGACTTTTATACTTCATAATTCAATTGCTGTAAACATATATAACGTTTTATTTAGATTGTATGGTCATTTTAAATTGTAAACACATTGAGGCTCTGCAAGATGCTTACTAAATGCTGTAATTATTATTATTATTACAAATGTTCAAATTCTTTCTTGAAAATTCAAAAATAGTGCTTTAAAATTTTGCATGTACCTATATTAACAAGTTATGAACAGGCACACTGCGTCATTCCAAAGACAAAAGCAGTCACTTTTAATCAGTTTAATTATATAATAGCTTTGAATGCTGAGTCCGATACATGTGTATATTTACATAATAACAATTTAAATAACAGCTATTAAATACAATATTACACTTACCATGTTATCTTTCTTTATATTTGGCAATGTTTTGCCTCATGACATCCAGTAAAAATCCAGTAAAAATCCAGTAAAATTCTGTTATTTGTCTTCGCAAATTTTGGGAAACTTTTAAAATATGCAACTTTGTAAAAAATCTCTTAACAAGGCACATTGAAGTAAAATAAATAACAATAGCCTTCTTGATCTCACTGTGAAAACAAAATGGTTCAAGAAATCTGGGCAACCTGCGAACACTTCTTTAAGATTAATTGAAAACATGATAAACATCTTGATGTGTCACTATTTATGGGTTTTTGATGCTGCTCTAGCCCCCTATTTGCCATCAAATTACTGCCAGCCACAACTGAGCTTCTCTTTGTAGTAATGGCGCTGGATTTATGGAATTAGTCATCTCCCGTAGCAGCTTGAACTTGCTGGAACATACATCCACAAAGAACACAACATTTTTGCATTTTTTCTCCTTAGCAAAGCTACCAAGAGCCTCCTATAATTTATGCAAATAATCTGGCGGCCATTCAACACAGTTGTTATTCAAAGTATTTTGACGGCCGTCATCTTGTCAAATTAGCTATGCTTACACAACATTTTAGGAAAATAGCACAGATCATCATGAATGGTGAACTTTAGTTTTCACATGCAAAAATGCCAGGCGTGTTTATTTACTAGTTTTACATGCCATTGGAGTTTCTGAAACTTGGTTAAACGATAAAACTTGTGATCTTGTAAATATTCCTGGCTATGATTTCATCTCAAACCATCGGACATATAAGACTGGTGGTGGAGTTGGTATCTATCTACATGATTGTTTACAATATAAACTGCTCAAAAATTGCACCATTTCCAATCCTGAGGCAATTGAATCTCTGTTTATCGAGGTTTCTATTCCTCTTGGGAAAAATATTATTGTAGGCACAGTTTACCGGCCTCCTAATCAAAACCTTTCAGTTTTCATGGATGAATTCAATAATATACTATCAATGATTTCTAGAGACAATAAGCATTGTTATCTAATGGGGGACATTAATTTGGACTTGCTTAACTATGAACATCATACAACCTACACAAGAGTTTTTGGATGCTTTGTTCTCTCATATGATCATTACACTCATGTCAAGACCAACTGACTGCTCACTTCGCAACACTTATTGACAATATTTTCACAAATTGTTTCTCCCATAATCTTAGCGGAAATACCCTTAATTACCTTTCTGACCATTTTCCAATCTTCGCTTTTTTCAATAATGAATACATTCCTCAGAAAACTGAGTTGAAATCAGTTACGCATGATTTCAGCGAAGGAAACCTTTCAAATTTTCGATCTTTCTTGTCTTGCCCAGGTTGACTGGACAGATGTTGTGAATGGTCAGGATCCTAGCACTGTTTTTGATGCTTTTGTAACTGAGTATAATCGTCATTTCGAAAATTGCTTCCCTGTAAAAGTAATCAAAATAAACATGTCCAAAAAACCAAGCACTCCTTGGATTAGTAAAGGGTTACTGGTTTCAGTTAGGAAAAAGAATAGATTGTACAAAAAATTTGTGAAACATCCAACGCTAGAGACACAATACAAAGCATATAAAAATAAATTGATTCATTTTACTAGAATTGCAAAGTGAACATACTACAATGATAGGCTCGAACATTCAAAAAATGACCTGAAAGCTACTTGGAAACTAATTAATGAAATTATTAATAAAAAGAACAAGCGGCCTTTGCCGTCTTCTTTCAACTCAAATGGGAGAACCATCACTGATCCAGTTAAAATTGCCAATGAATTTTGTCATTACTTTACAAATATTGGTCCAACTTTAGCAAGTAAGATACAAACAACTACCTCCGCTTTACAAAACTTTGTTGGTCCTGCTAATGATTAAACTATATATCTTAGACCAACTTCAATCTCAGAACTAATGGAAATTTGTAGCTCTTTCAGCTCTAAAAAAGCACCTGGCTACGATAATATTCCTATGCACCTTATCAAGAACTCTGTTGAATTTATCATTGTACCATTAATGAACATCATTAATTTATCTCTTGAAATTGGAGTTTTCCCCGAGAAATTAAAAATGGCCAAAGTAATTCCTATTTTCAAGGCTGATGACCCAGAATCTTTTAAAAATTATAGACCTGTGTCCTATATCTATCTTATCAAATTTTTCTTAATTTTTTCGAAAGATTAGTGCATATTCGTTTATCTGAATTTGTTCAGAAATATGAAATTCTGTATTGTTATCAATTTGGTTTTCGTAAAAACCATTCAACAGATCTAGCGCTTACTCACCTGGTCAATAAAATTACCTCATCTATTGATGAAGGCGGAGTCACTGCCGGTGTTTTCTTAGACTTGTCTAAAGCGTTCGATACTATCAATCATCAAATACTCTATTATAAATTGGAACGTTATGGCATTCGTGGAGTTGCATTGCAATGGATTAAAAGCTATTTTGAAAATCGAAAGCAATTTGTTCAATATAACAACGTTTCATCTTCGGTAAACACCATCACCTGTGGTGTACCACAAGGCTCCATATTAGGACCATTGTTTTTTATCCTTTATATCAATGACCTCCTGAATGCTTTAAACATAACTGAATCATTATTATTTGCATACAACACCAGTGTATACTATTCTCACACTGACCCTATTTCACTGATCAATGTTTTGAATGACGAATTAAGAAATGTTGACCGTTGGATGAAAGCAAATAAACTCTCAGTGAACATAACTAAAACTAACTATATCATTTTCAAATCAAGGAATAAAACGTTTTGTACTGATATACCTGTTATTTTTGACGGAAAACCATTAATGCAAAAGAAAACTGTTAGGTTTCTTGGAGTTCATATTGACGAAAACCTTACATGGAAATCACACAGTCATGCATATAAAAAGATCTCCAAGTCAACTGGAATACTATTTAGATCTCGTTTTTATCTGTCTAAAAAATCTAAAATATCCTTATATTATACTTTGATCAATCCCTACTTGACCTATTGCAACACTACCTGGTCTTCCACCTACAAAACTTTAAAACGAATATTTCTCTTGCAAAAGCGAATTTGTCCGAATTTTGACTAACTCTGAATTTCATGTGCATACTGCGCTGCTGTTTAATGAACTCAAACTTCTCAACATTTACAATTTAAATGTGTTTTATACCGCAAAATTCATGTTCTCATACCACAACCATTTACTTCCACCATCATTCCAAAACTTATTCGTTACTTCTCACCAAAGACATAACTATAATACCAGAAATGCAAGTTCATACTGTTCCTATGCATGTAACACTAATGTTAAACAGTTTACTGTTCTTTTTCAAGGTCCTAAAATTTGGAATTCTCTACCTGACTGATGACATAAAAAATGCAGAATCTTACAATTGCTTTAGGATTGGAATGTTTAATCACTTATTGCAGTCCTAATCATTTTATTGCCGGCTTTTCAATGAGTAATCTCAGACCAGACTTTATTCTCTTTTTTACTACGGTTTATTCTATCTATGCTGTCCGTTCAATAATCTATATAAAGAGGAGTCATCCCTTGTACAAGCCCTTAGGCTTCTGGATGCCTCCTCATCACTTCCAATATTTATTTACTTCCATTGTAGCAAGTATCATTATATGTATAGTATTGTATGTACAGTATAGCGTATTAGCATTTTTATCTATAGATTTTTAAACTTAGTATTACAGGACCCTTAGTGATAGCAGTATTTAGTTATACTGAATAAGGTTTTATCCTGTATAAATAAAGTTATAATAATAATAAAGTAATGTTTTTTTTGTTGTTTTTTTGTTTTCTTTACTTGTATTACCCAATGTCTGTACATTATTTAATTATTGATTTATTTTGTGGCAGATAAAGAGATTAAGATTAGTTTCCAATGTGTTCCAATTAAGCCTATCAACAGCGACATAATTAGAAGAGGTCTTAATAACTGTTCTGGTAGCTCATTTGATTGATTGATTGATTGATTGATAATAGTATTTATTCAGGAAAACCAACATCACAAGTTGTGTTTTTCAGAAGGTCCCTGAGAAAACTATACAAATACAAAAGATTATACAATAATAATATGCATGCAGGTTATATGCGATGTATATATATAAACAAGAAAAGTTTTAAAATATAGAACTAAGATAATTATATATTACAAAGAAGAGCTATTTGCAAAATGCATTCGATTATACTATGGAGATTTAAGAAGTGCAGTATGAAAACTAGCTAGATGGTTAATTGACATAATGTTTTTGTTCAAATCATTATACTCCTTACAAGCTTGGTATAGAAGTTTCTGCTTTCCCCAATTGGTACTAGGTTTGCCGAGATGAATGTGATCTCTTTGTCTCGTGTTATGCAGGCGGTTGGCTTTAGGTAGGTCGAAGTCGTAGTCTATCAGGTTATTTTTCAATTTGAATATGGTCGGCATTCGATGTAAGTATCGCCGGTGGGTAAGTGGGTGCCAGTGTAGGTTTGAGAGAGCTTCAGTGGAGGAGGATAGGTAAGGAGCGTCGAGAATCGTCTTTGCAGCCTTGTTCTGAAGGATTTGTAGTTGATCCATGAGGGTGGTGTTGTTCTTATCACCCCACATAATATCAGCGTAGTCGAATAATGGGAGGATGAGAGAATTGTAGATTGTAAGTCGAGCTTTTAATGGGATGAAGACTTTAACTCTTCTAAGCAATCCAATACGTTGGTTGATTTTTATCGATACATTACTTATGTGATCGGACCAAGTGAGATTCTCTGAAAAGGTGATTCCTAGATATTTAAAAGTTTGTTCTCGGGCAAGTTGTTGGTCGTTAACGTATGTGGAGATATTGGTGACTGTTTTTAGGCGACGGTTACCGCCAAAAAGGAGGAACTTGGATTTTGCACAGTTTAGTGTTAGCAGATTTTCATCAAGCCATTTACAGATTGAATGAAGATCTTCATTAACGCATAGCTCAATGTCTTTGACCGAATTGGAGGAATAATATAGAAGAGTGTCATCAGCATAGAGTATTATTTTGCAGTGTTTCACAATGTTGGGCATGTCATTTATGTAAATAATGAAAAGTAAGGGACCCAATATGCTACCTTGCGGAACACCAACTGACACAGGTAATGAGCTGGATAACATTGTTAATTGATGTTTTCTTTTGACGATTGGTAAGGTATGACTCAAACCAATTTAACGAGTTATTATCCAGGCCAAATGATTTCAATTTGCACAACAGGATAGCATGATCAACCGTGTTGAATGCCTTGCTAAAATCCAGAAAGACAGAGGCTGTGATGAGACCGTTGTCAGCATTATCAAGAATAGTATCGGTGAAAAATGCCAATGTGGTACTCCTAGATAACTTTGGTCTAAAGCTAAATTGAGATTCGGAGAGGATTTTATTTTCAGATAAATAGCTGTAAATCTGCGTGTGAACGAAACGTTCCAAAATTTTGCTCAGGATTGGCAGAACAGTTATGGGTCTGTAGTTTGACATATTAGAGCGATCGCCAGACTTAAATATTGGTGTTACTTTCCCGTCTTTCCAGATCTTGGGGAAGATAGAAGATTTTAGTGATTGATTAAACATATCAGTTAGGGTTGGGGCGATAGTTGCTGCAGCATCTTTCAGTAGTCTGGCGCTGATACCATCAAGGCCGGTAGATTTATTAGTTTTAAGAGTTGATAGTTGTTTGAAAACAGACGCAACATCAATCTCTTTGAATTCAAATGTGGAATTAAATTGTGGTAGTTGAATACAGGAGAATATTATGTTTGATGACAATCTTTGCTTGATTGTGTTTGCCAAAGTCCTTCCGATACTGGTGAAGAAAGTATTGAAAAGAGATGATATAGATTGCGAGTTCTTGGTTTCAATGCCGTCCGATATGATAGATGATGGTGCTGAAGAATGTGTGTTGCGCGATGTTAATTCATTGAGAGTTTTCCAAAGGCGAGAGGGATTATTTCTGTTTTCTTTTATCAAGGACTCGTAATATTTGGATTTGCATTCACGTACTGCTTTGTTTACAAAACAGCGAAGCTTACAGTATGACGACCAGTGATGTTGTGACTGTGTTTTTTGTGCCTTCTTCAGGTGATAGTCTCGATCTTGCATCGCTCGACTTAATTCAGCCGTCATCCATGGAATGCTAATTCCCTTAACTTTCATTTTCTTTATTGGCGTGTGCATGTCTGCTATGACAGTAAAACATTGACACCAGCTGTTGACGGTAGCATCAACATCGTTTTCGTCTACAAAGGTAGACCAGTTGACGTTTTCAAGATCTAGAAGGAAGGACTGTTTATTGTAATGTTTATAAGATCTATATTCAATTGTGTGTGGAGGAGCTTTGGTGACACCAGCTTTAAACACGCAAAACATAAGAGAGTGGTCACTCAACGAGCATGGAATCGCATCACTTCGGACAATTCTCTGACTATTGTTAACAAAGATCAGGTCAATCATGGTTTCTGAGTAGTTGTTTCGAGGGTGAACAGGTTTTTTTGCTAAGGTCAATATTAAAGTCACCTAACAAAATGAGCTCGCTGTTATTTGGAAGTTTGAGAATAATATTGCTCAACATGGATAAGTAGTTTTCAAGAGGATTGTCCGGTGCTCTGTAAATACAACAAATAAACAGTTTCTTAGATTTAACTCGTAAAACTTCAATCATACAGTTTTCGAGATCGTTATTCATCAAGTCCGAATGGGTTTTAAAAGGTATACCATCACGAACATAGATGGCAGTACCACCTCCGATTTTGTTTTGACAGTCCATTCGTATAATTGAATAACCAGGTAAAGCTACTTCGGAAACTGAGATATCGGGTTTAAGCCATGTTTCGGATGCTGAGAAGATGTCGAATGGTTTATCCTTCATTTCTAATCGTAGTGTATCAATTTTAGTTAAGATGCTTCGGGTATTTAGATGAGAGATTTTTAATCCTTGTACATTAGGTGGAGGTATGGAGAAGTTACATGTGGGACCAGGATTAGTTGCGATATCATTTGATAGAGATATAAGGATCATAGAAATGGAGAAATTCATGGCGATGTGAAGTCCGCGCATTAATTTCTTACTTGGCGAGACATGGCTGAGATAAGTAGAAGTTGCATGAGAGCGTCGGGGATTGTGTAAATGAGAGTATTCCGTCATGTTAGGGGTTGATAATAACTGTATTTATTTTAAAAAATGGTGACAGGTAGTTTTAGATTTCAGGTTTTTCTTCTTAAATAAGCAAACAAAAAATTGCAATATAATAAATAACAAAAATGTTATTATAATGCATGAGTCAATTCCTGGAGTAACCATCCCCACCCTCGGGAATTTGTGTGATAGATAGTTCACAGGGATATAACTTTTGCAAAAATTAGTAGCTGTGCCATGCAAATTTAAATACAGCTATTAATTAAAGGCTTATGATTTCGTTGTTTAAATCCTTTTAACCACTCTTAGCAAGATTAAAGTTTTATAATATTCCATAGCAGTTTAATTAATTATAATATTATTAAATGACTATGCCTACGATATGCCATTAAAAGTTTAAATAACACTTAAAATCATCCCCAGGGTGGGGCATTTTCCACTCTCAGCTTGCCCAAAGGCTGTGCATTGTGCATTAGTGTCCCTGCACCCGGGCATTTGCACTATCGTAACCAATCAAATCAAATTCCCGGGTGTGTTCTGGGGGGGGGGGAGGATGGTTATTCCTGGAATTGACTCATGCTGTCATGCATAAGCGACTAAATTTTATTTTTAAGATAGGCATACCTGTTATTGTGATCTACAACAGCTTGTAACACAATAGAGTGGAAATGCTTTCTGTTGGAATAGTCCACTTGGTGTTCTTTTGGAGCAATGATAGGAATATGTCCCATCAATTGCACCGACACACTGACGAAGGCCACTCATGATTCTGAAACCATCCTTAATCTCTACCAGCTGCTCATTTGATGCAATCTTTATGAATTCTGGCAGAAGAAAATTCACTATAGCTTTACAAACATTGTGGGTTATTTTGCAACACGTAGACAGCCTGACACCGAACAGTTGTCCAATTGAACGGTAGCCATGACCTGTTGCGAGTCTCCACAGCGCTATAGCGACTCTTTTCGCAACTGGTATGGCTTCTCGAAATGTAGTACATTTTTTTCTCAACTGTGCATCGAGTTTGTTGCAGATGTAAATGAATGTTTGTCTTTTCATCCATAAGTGCTCAACCCACATTCTGTCCGTCCACCTGGGATACAAATTGTCCCAAAAAGATTGGTTTGCCTTGAACCAACTCCACACTTTCCTTTTGTTAAGCAAACCACAAATAAACACCATTGGCACGCTCAAAGATACTTTGACCACGGATAATTGGAGTTCATTTGCATATAATGGAGTAGTTTTAGTGTTGATCTCTGGGACATCCTACGACGCTTCCTATTACGCTTTTTACATAAAAACGAATATATTAGCAATAAAATACGAGGATCCGCCATTTTGTATAAAGTTGAGTAAAAGTTGTACTTTGTAGGCCAAAGTGAGCCAGTCTCAAAATGCCAGTGTAAACGCACCACATTTACCTTGGCCAGGCCTTGGTAAATGAACTGACCAACTAAATCTTATAGCACCACATAAAGTAACAAAGCATGTTTCATTGGTGAGTAATGAATTGAGTTGGGTTTTATTGTGCATACCATACTGCACCTGTTGTTCATAGCAATTTTATTTAAAATAACTTTCATACACTATATGTATGTCTTCGAAGTTTGATATAATTTAGTTGGGTAATTGCTGAGTTAAGTAAGGTTTTATTGTGAATACTAGGATGCCATACTGTCTATGGTATTTCTGGTCTAATGAAGTAATTATAGTAGTTTTTACATAAATTTATACTTAGAATTTCTTTAGTTACAACAGTAGCTTACACAGCAAAATAATTGTCATGATTCCCTTTTCATTTGACCATAGTTTTATGTGTGTTCACTGCATGTTGCTAAATTAAGGGGGTATACTACACTTTTATGAAAATCTATTTATTAGTTGAAACATTGAATTGGGCAATAAGACAAGTTGAAAGCTTATTCCCTGTAACTTTTTTTGGCTTCGAAGTTTGATGTAATTTAGTTTGGTAATTACAGAGTTAAGTAGGGTGTATTTCTGGTCTAATGAAGTAATTATAATAGTTTTAATGAATTTATGCTTAGAATTCCTTTAGTTACAACAGTAGTTCACATAGCAAAATAATTGTCAGGACAGGCATTAAAATACAGAATTTTTACAAGGACACACTTTGCCTTCAGAGGCGTATTTTCGGTATAAATGTGCAGACCTCACGAGAACGAGTGGCAAAGCCACGAGTTTAGCGTCGAAGACGCAAGCTTTTAAGGGACTTGTTTTCAGATACATTAATATAGCCCTACTGCTTGTAAGAATCGAACGCAGAAGTTGGCTTGTGTACTGAGACCAATGTACTTTGAAATACTGAGGAAGCCTGAGAACCTTGAGTTTGTTTTCAGTTGCCACTTTATGACGTTCCCGTGTCCTCAGCGACTGAAGAGCAAACTGAGTTCCAAGCCAGGGCACTACGATGTACTGCACACCAGATTTTAAGCAGGTGTACATCTTTTCCATTTTCCTGAAGCTGACGCATCTGACTGAGCCTTGCCCATATCCCCGATTGTGCTCCTGAATTAAGATTTGTTCCATCGGATGCTAGCGATGAAACGTTTGGAAACAAAGAATCCCATTTAACTGATTTTCAACAGCATTCTGAATAGCCGTTAGTGCTTCTTCTGCACCACACTCGTTTGGTTCTTCAAACCCAAGGAAATAGAAATTTTCTTCCCCTTTTTGATTTACAGTGTTGGCCAACAGGTTAAGGGGGTATCTTACAGTTTTATGAAAACGTATTTATTAGTTAAAAAATTGCGTTTTTAATGCCTTGGAGGTTTGGCATAATTTAGTTAGGTAATTACAGAGTTAAGTAGGGTTTTATTGTGCAGACCATACTGTCTATGGTATTTCTGGACTAATGAAGTAATATAATAGTTTTAATGAATTTATGCTTAGTATATATTTAGTGGCAAAAGCAATTTACATAGCAAAATAACTGCATTTTGATATGTTAAGGAGGTTTCCTACGTTATGATAATCTATCAGTTCAAACACTGCATCGGGCAATAAGACTAGTTTGGAGCTTATTCCCCCTTCATAGCAACTTTATTTCATTTAAAAGACGTACTGTGTGAGAGGAAAGTTGCTCTCTTGAGCTAGTCAAAGAAATAGAATTGGATACTTCAGAGTGAGCTGTAGCCGAACAACTCGATGGAGCAGATGTTGACACCATGGGAAAAGAAAAGGTAAACCTACTGGTGCTACTGAGAAAAAGGGGAAAGTACACAGAGCAAAGCAAAAGTGCCCATTTACATCATGTAGTAAAGAAGTTGTGCATTTGCTTTGTCATGAGGCAGGTGTGTAATTGGTCTCAAGACAGGATAAGCAGAGTGCTGGCAGCTTTCGACATTTGAAAACCAAGGAGAAAATAAGAAAAGAACAGCTGAATGCATACACAAGTTCAATAGCACTTCTTGCTAATGCTATTTCTGGGAGGCATGCAGCAACACCATCACAGCAGCAACCACTACAACCACCAATGTGCCATTACCCAATGCATGCGGATGATGCAAATCAACAAACATATTATAAACTATAATTAGAGACTTCATTTCATGCAGCATTTATATTACTACACTGTGTTTAAACTTAAGTGTTAAATGTTGATTAAAATACAATATTTGCTTTATTCTTATTGTGTACAGACACAGTACGGTTTAAGGTCATCGCTTACATGGAGCAAGTTTTTCATACAACCTGTTACACAATTCTGAAGTAGATGCATGCTGTGGACAACATACTTGCCAATGACATTGCAATCAAAATTGGACATTGTAGTACCACCTTTAGCTTATATAAATATTAGTTTCCTTGGGAAAATGAAGTTAAAGCCAGTCTAAACACTTCAGCATCTCCCTCAATGTCAACACCCAGTATCTCATATATATTGTTACCATCATTAAAACTCTAAACAATTTCATCCTGTTGTAGCATATCTCTAATTTTACACAGATTATGTAAGATACAACATGTTGCGACTTTGGGTGATAGGTATTCCATATACATATATTTTCTTCATGAGGCATCTTAACCTGCTCTTCATTTGGCCAAATGCACATTCTGCCACCATCCAGGCTCGACTAGGTTGGTAATTGAATTTAACTTGACTATGATTTAAATTTCCATTATCTTAAAATGCAACATCAACCAAGGCAGCAATGGATAGGCAGAATTGGCCACTAACATTATTGACACATCACACATCAATATTTTCAGTCGCCTTAAAAATAGAGAATAATACATGGGTGCTTGGAAATATCAGATTTATTTCGAGTGTTGAACATGATATCTCACGAGTGAGCGCAGCGAACGAGCGAGATATCATGTTTAACACGAGAAATAAATCTGGTATTTCCAAGCACACATGTATTTGTTCTGTTTATTATATAAACAATATTTGTACACCACCATAACGCAAACAAATAAAATCCAAACAAATTTATTACAAAATTCATACAGGAATGAAAAAATTGTGTATGAATGCAACTTATATGTTAAACAGTGCCAAAAACGGTATAACTTTCCAACAAAATTTATTATTATTATTTATTTAATCTTATTTAATCACGGTAGCCTTTCAGAAGTACATCTGTTTTTCAAAGGGCCGTGAGTTCATTAAAATATTTACATAATTGGAGAGAAAAAAAAAGAAGGAAATCTAAAAGCGAGAAAAACAGGCCATTTACATAAACTATTTACATGGATGCAATTAATTACACTATAGATTAGGACCAATGGATTAGGACATACGTTTTATGACATTCTTAAAGGAGTTGACAGAGACATCTTCTATTAATGCTTGATCAATAATATGATTAGGTAGGTTATTCCAACTCATAGCTCCTCAATAGGGAAAGCTATTTTTTAGAAAATTTGTCTTTGGCTTAGGTAGGTAAATATTTCTATTGTTGCTACGTAATTGATAGTTGCCGTTTTCGTTCAAGTTAATTGTCTGCATTAGGTAGTTGGGCACTAGACCTTTAAGGGCCTTAAATATCATTACAAGGTCGCGCTTGTCTAAGTTGTCTTTTATAGGTCTCCAGTTTAAGGTTTCAAAAATGTTAGTTGATCGTATGTCGTAACTGGATCCTGTTATTACACGAGCAGCCCTTTTCTGTAACTTATATAATTTATTAATGTGATCAGCGCGAAAGCCATGCCACACAGTTGAGCAGTAGTGAGGAAATACAAGTGAATTATACATTGTAATTAAAACATCTTGTGTAACAAAATCTCTAGCTCTTCTTAACATTCCGATACGTGCTGAAATTATTTTACATTGTTTACTGTTATGTTCTTCCCATTTTAATTGTTCATCTATAATTATGCCTAAGGATTTTGTGCTTTCAACTCGTCTTATTTGCTCGCCTGCGATTGATATGTTTGTAGTATTTGTGCCAATAGAATTTATTTTTTGTCGTGAGCCAATAATCATGTATTCAGTTTTTTTACGGTTTAAAGTCAGCTTGTTTGCGGTTAACCATGTGTGAATTATTTCTAAATCGTGATTCAGTTTACTCTCTATATCTGCGGATGATAGTCCGTTACATGATAGGCTTGTATCATCCGCAAACATTGTGGCGCTTGTTGTTACAAGGCAATTTGGCAGATCATTTATATAAAGGAGAAATAGCAACCTAGATTTGTCCCTTGAGGAACTCCGCAGGTAATTGTTCTTATATCCGACATTTTTTTGTTAATTTTACATATTTGCTGCCTCTTTCTTAAATATGACTGAAACCATTTGTGTGCTGTACCCTTTATTCCATAAGCTGTCAATTTAGATAAAAGAATATTGTGGTCCACCGTATCGAATGCTTTTTTTAGGTCTAAGAATAGTACACCATTAATGAGACCTTGGTCCATGTTTATTAACCATTCATTTGTTAAGCTCAGTAGTGCAGTTTCAGTTGAATGGAGTGATCGAAACCCTGACTGGTTTGGTGATATGATACAGTTTTCGTCTAAATAATCAAGTATTTGTGTATAGACAATTTTCTCGAAAATCTTTGCAATTGTTGAAATTACTGAAATAGGTCGATAGTTTCCACAGTCTGATTTTTCACCTGATTTATAGATAGGGGTAACCTTGGCGACTTTCCAATCTTCTGGAAAAATTCCAGTACTTAACGATAGGTTGAATAGATGATTTAGGGATGGTATTATGCTGTCGCCAGCTTCCTTGACCAATTTTGTAGATACGTTATCAAGACCTGGTGACTTGTTAGTTTTGAGGTTCTTAACCACTTTTATTAGCTCATCATAGGTTATGGCATGAAATTCAAATGAAGTTGACACTGGAGTGACATAACTCAAAGGATCAGTATTTGTAATGGGGATGTTACTAGCTAGTGTAGGCCCAACTGAACAAAAATAGTCGTTAAATTCCTGGGCTATATTTACATCACCGGTTATGTCTATCCCATTGACCTCCACTTTATTAAGGTGGCTCCATACAGTTCCGTAGTATAAATACCTTATTGCGTAAAAATTTCAATTTATAAATTTTATCACTCCATCTATTAATTTTAAGCATTCCCAAGTATAAATTAAGTATTTGGTAGAAAAAATTTGCAATATTCTTGAACATAATATTGTTTCCATAGTAACAGTAGCCTCGCCAAATATGGTCTTTTTTGCTATTTTAAGCAGGTTTTTATTCTTTATTTTCCGAATATTGCCGGTGACCCCCAATTTTTAACTGCTGTATAGCTTTCACTTATAATAAGGAATCTTATCCCTGAAAATAAAAAAATTCTGTAGATTAGAATAGCCAGAATAAAAAATTGCGGATTTAAAGTTTTCCAATCTACAGATTTTTTTTAAATTTTGATATTCTATTTGTTTTAAAAGAAGTTATCGTTGTGCAAAATTTCATCACATGTCACCGTGCAAAATTTTGAATTATGCCGTTTTATTGTGGTATCTCACTCGCTCGGCCGAAAGTTTTTCGAGCTCTGCAAGATCAATGAATTGACATGCGCGTACATGTTTTCGCAGGCGCATCTCCAGAAAAACACGCACAAAAAAGTTTTTAGTCTCGTCGAAATATCAAATATATGTTGTATTTTCTTGCTTAGAAATGCAGATATCTTTAGTTTTGCATGCTAATTCGGGATAACGCCAAGAAAAGAGGTAATTGTGTCGTTTGGTATAAGATATGTGTGACATGTATGAACTTTTTGGCTTCTCTACATAGTTTTATATTCGTTTACAGTCGTAATTTGTGTGTTTTCATGTTGTTGTTGACAATTTAAAACAGTTTGAGCCGGCGTATGATGCTGTTTGACTGAATTCCTTTGCTGTTAGTGACACTTTACCAGTTGTAAGTACAAAAAACTCTGGATATGAACTTATAAATCGCCAAATATTGGAGTAAAAAAACGTTTCGCCGGTCGGGCCGATCGCCGGTTTTCACAAGAGTTTGAACGTTAAACATTGCATTTTTTACCTTAAAATGTCTTCTAAAAAGACTAGCTATTCAATATTCATGGTTAAATCAGGACGAAGTTTGTTCTTTGAGAACAAAAATGACTCGAAACATTAAAATAACCATGACTTGTGGTTCGGATTTTAGACTGAAAAAGTTGTATTTATTTTTGCATATATTTGTAATATTTTCGCGCGAAACTCAAGATTAGGTACCAGTCCCCCGATGATGAAAGTGTATGGAGCCACCTTAAGTCTGTCCTTTCCATCAACACGTACACCGTTTGCTATTGGTAACTGACAATTTGAGGTCATCTTTCGTACCTGAAATTCGTACTTGTTACATAATAAGCATGTAACAGTTGGTCTCTTTCTTTTATCTTTTATTTCTTTCTTCAACACTAGGCACTTCGCAGCATCTAACAACCAATCGACATCTAGCTTCATCCCCCTATACCAGTCGTTGGAATTTTTAGAATCAGACTTTGACGTTGATACAGTTGCAATATTTCCACAAGTGTTCGTAGTTTCCTTTGCTTCAGTATCGCTTTCAACAACGACCATAACAGGTACAGGATCAGGAAGTTCAACATGTTGTGATTTCTCACCTGAAAAATCAATGATTTTATTTGATCTTTCCTCAGTTGTACCGATGCATTCCCTTTCGGTATTAGTTGTAGTACTGCTATTTGTTGTTGTTGATCTGAACATTTCAAACAAAGATCGTTGCCCTGGAGCATTTGCTGACTGTTGTAGCGCCTTTCTCTTGCTTTCGGTTCGCTTTTGATGACCGGATTTCATTGATCTCTTCATTATAAATTTAAATTTTAGCTATTATAAATACAAATTTTGACTACGAAGCTTCGACATGCATGCCCACAAGCAGTGCTCTCATTTCCGATCGCGTGGAATTCCTTAGATTCTCGGTAAAAATTCCTCAGATTTAGTAAAATTTCCTTAAATTTCATATTTTTGGGTTAACGAATATCACATTGTTAAGGAATATCTTTCTTCGAAAAAAATTTGCAATACTGAATGCTTAAGACTGCATTTCCAGCGTTTTAAAAAAGTATTTTTGAATAAATACTGCTAAATTGACTGAAATTTTAAATATAATTTCAATATTTTTAAAAATTAGATAATTAGAAATTCCTTAATTCTTCTATTTCGTCTCCTTAAAAAATGACAAAAAGGTCAAATTTCCTCAATTTAAGGAAATTTCCTTAAAACTGAGAGCCCTGCATGCGCGAGGCGCGTCACAGGTTTACCCAAATTAATTCCTGACAGGTAACACAGGTTGTCATACAACATAAAGTTCTACCTGATTTTATGATTTCAGAAAAGGATAAAAAAATTTATATGGATTTTAAACTTGTCATCAATGTTATACTCATTTATTACACTCGAATAACTCGATACATGTCCTACTAGGGCCCTTGCTTTGGGGCAATAAGCCCTTTTTTTCTTCAGTGGTGGGGCAGAGGAAGGGGCCCAGTGGGGCAAATACCCCACTAGTCCATGGTATTAAAAGATGCCTTGATTCCTGGTTATGTCTAATAAATGTATATAAATTTCCACTAGATAATTGCTATCTACAAAACCCTTTAACTATAATATTCAATCAAGTGAGATGCTACTTAGAATCTTGATACTATATTGTGGTATAGCACTATAATACTGTACTGTACTGTACTGTACTGTACTGTACTGTACTGTACTGTACTGTACTGTACTGTATTGTACTGTACTGTACTGTACTGTACTGTACTGTACTGTACTGTACTGTACTGTACTGTACTGTACTGTACTGTACTGTACTGTACTGTACTGTACTGTACATGCACCATTCTGTATTCTTGTTGTGGTGTTATATGCTTAGCCATGTGCCTCTATCTGCTCTGCAGTGCTAATTACTGTGTTGAGCAGTGAGGCATATTCATTTAATTATATCCAATATAAGACTGTTATAAGACTTGTGATGTGATGCACTAATGCTGTGCCATTTACTAACACTACAGTACATTGGCTGCCAATGGCTGGGTTAGGCTGTTGCGGTATTTGAAAAAAAACGAAAACCGTTACCGGAAAAAAAATACCGATAATACCGATATATCGATATTTTTTCGCGATTGTAATTTGTTTAATTTTATGCCAAATTTGCTTAATTTTACGCAAATTTTCTGTTTTCAAATAACGCCTTCGTTGGTACTTGTAGTTGAAGAGACTATGTTGCGAGGAGACGAAGCTTGTTTTATATTCTTTTGCAACGTGCTGTATATCATGTAGTGATTTGTCTTGAGATGAGACATGAGGTTTGAAGTATTACTTCCCTTATTCTTGACGATTTTCCCACAGATTTGACACTGGGGATCATCTTTTACTTTCTTAAAATGATTCCAGACAGCGCTTGGCATGTTGATACTCTGAATGTTAGTCTTCAAGTGAAACAGTAACAATGGGTCTGGAATGTAGATTGTCACAAAACGACAAAAATAGTCTATTTATTCTAATTTTAGATTTCTGACTCATCAGGTGCGGGATATTTTCAATAAAGTGTTGGGCCAGTGATCGGTAGCCCGTGAAATGTCCGCTTTGGGAATTGAAAATGCATATTTGCATTGATTATCCGCACTTAGGATGAATCAAGTGTGATATTTTGGCCGGGAAATTTGTTTCAAAACATATTATTCAACTGCGAGTTCGAAACAAGGATTATTCTATCAGATAAACAATGTCCAGTGAGGTTAGTTTTTGTGTTTTTTTTTAAACATTTGTAATCCACGGCCACCGTTGTTTACGTTCTAAAAGTTTGCTTTTTGACAAGCGAAATTATGTATTGCACTTTGCAACGCCAACGTAAACAAACACGTTTTAGCTCTCGCCCTAACTTTTCCCCGCAAAGTTAGCACATTGATCGTCTTTGTCCTTCTTTGACATGACGTTTAAATATACATATGTAAACGCGATATCGATAATACCGAAAAATATCGATATTCCGATATATCGAAAATTTCAATATCGAGTTATCGGTATTTATAAAAGACCGATAATTATCGATATATCGATATACCACAACAGCCTAGGCTGGGTTGTGTTAAACACTTCATGGCCCATGGCGTCCTACTTTGGTATAATAATTTTACTTTGTCTAATTCCAGACAATTTTACTTTTCAAGGGAGGGTATTGCACACTAATGTGGGTTAACCAGCTCAAACAATCACCTCAAACTCTATTGTGCTGCACTGAATTTTTATGTGTTTTAAACTCTGCTGTACTTCACTGTGCTACAGTAATCTTAGCTATGCGAAATTGTGCTGTACTGTCCTTTGGTGCACTGTACTATCAGGTATATTGTACTGTAATGTTATTTTAACTAATAATAATGGATTGTATTGTACTGTATGACAAGTACAATGTGTACAATTTGTACTTGCCATGTTTAAATTTAATATGATACAACACATCACGACAGAATAATAAAAATAAATTGTAATAAAACACTGCGTCATTGAGCTGCTGTGACCAAAAATGTCACTCCTCTCATCTGAATATTTATATTAAACACGAAGTAAAATATGTTCACTTACCTGAAACATGAATAATGCAGTTCTCGCCTCCCTTCCGTATAATTTTCACGGGTTTTTTTCTTGAGTGCAGTAGAAAGGAAAGCAATCTGAGCGAGTTAAAACTATTTAAAAAGCCGAAACACGACGCCATTTTGTTTGCCTTTTATAACAAATAACTCCAATAAATGGAGTTATATCTGAATAACTCCACCATCAAGAGTTAATTTTGCATACTAATTAGTTCGTCCGTATCTCCTTACTCCTCAATGAGAGTTACTTTAACCCCTGAAATGGGGTTAACGTAGCCCTAAAATTTTAACTCCACTAAAAAGGAGTAATAGGGGAGTTATTTTAACTCGCTGAAAATAACAGTGCATGCACAACTCGACGTTAGCGAACGAATATTCAGTGTTATATTAATAATGTACATTGGGTCGCCACCAACCTATATGAACATGACTTTGTGATTGGTTAATCATAACAATAAAAGACTATAGAAATTATATTTGTAAAGAACGAGTCATAAACACTGATCACTATTTTTTTCATGAAGTCAATCACAAAACAAGCATTTTAGGTTGGTATTTACAATGCAAATATATACGTTGTTTTTAAATCATTTCAACTGTAGCCATGTGGTAGACTATTTACATGTGATTGCAACCGCGCTCTACAGTGTTTAGCAATTTTGGTTAAGGTTACAGAACACCTTTGAGTGTTAATTTTGCCTAAAATTTTTTTATTGGTTTCGATGAAGGCATTGGACTATTTCTACTATCTGACCAAGTTTGAACGAAAAATGTTGAAAACTCGCAGAGTTATTTAATAAAATTCATTTCCCTGCAATAAGAAAAACATTGAAAATGTAATATTCAAATTCAATTTTCTCCCGAAAAATTTTACTGCAAATTACTGATTTTCAAACGAGTTGCGCTCCTGCGCGTTTCAACCATTTTTTTTCAAATTTTCACAGGACATAGCTTAATACGTTAGCTTCAAAATAGTGTTCGGCTTTTTTTTAATTTTGGATATTTTAAAAATAAAGAGCAAGTCACTCGAACAATTCAGAAATATATTGCAGTCGTCAAAGAAATCGCCATATCAGCGGAATGAATAAACAAAAATTTCCGAACACAATTTTTTAGAACAACTATTTTATTGTATAAAAATGATATTTTCATAAATATAAGGGACCGATCGTTTATTACGTCTCAGGGGGAGGGGGGCGGTGGTTTTTGAGGGGGGGTTAATTTTTTAAATATGGCTATTTTGGGGGGGTAGTTTTTTGTTTCCCGAAAGGAAAAGAAGGGGGGTTAAATTTTGAAATTGCAAACGATTCTTACGATATTAAAATGACTTTATTTGGTGTATGAGATGAAATTCAAAATATATCTACCATTTTGAATTTGAAAAAAAGAAAAACAAATACAAACTAATCAAGCAAGATTGCGCCATTGTGTGCAATTTTTGCATAGAGAAGACTGGAATCTAGTTCTTAGCATTCAACTCTTTATAGTTGAAAGTTTAGTCCCGCTTACCGGGACGTCTCGCTTACCGAGACGAATATTTCCGTGCGTTCATATGGAATATTTCGTCCCGCTTGCCGAGATGAAATTACATTGTAGTTCTATAATTAATAGCGTATGCAAAACTTCTACATTTCAGTCAAGCAACACAAATACTTAGCGGTTTTAGTGTTTTTCTTCGTTTATTTACAAGAAAAAGTATTTCTTCAGATGCTCATTTAATACTTGTTTACAAAACAAACATAAAACCAAGTAAAAAGTGTTAAATTAAACCTGCAAGACTTGTTTGACTTCATCCAGGTAAGCGGGCTGGCGTGTTCATATGGAAAAATTTTCATCCCGCCTACCTATGATCTCGGCAAATTCAAACGAGATCTCGGCAAGCGGGCCAGGTCGCTTTCTCATATGAACACAATGCAAAATTTTATAGGAAAATAGATAGGCGGCGAGATCATCGGTAAGCGAGACGTCCTGGTAAGCGGGATCATATGAACAGGCCCTTAGTGACTCCGCTGAACGGAATGATTGCAGTCAATGGTTTACACCTGAAAAAAAAACATGGCGGAAAATGTTTCAAAAAAGGTATTTTTTATCTACATTTTATAATAATATATAAATATTATTGCATTTTTACTTTTACATGTTTATATCATTCATTAATATGATATTTTTGTATAACGTTTTCCTGTTTTGTATTGAATGCCAAAATAAGCAATCTTGCTTTTATATATGACTCGATATTATATTGAATTAGCAATTTCGCGAGGCCTTATAATTTGAATATTTGATGCACTGAGGTTTGATGCCTAGAAATGCCTAGTGCAATTGGGGGGGGGGTATATTTTTAAATTTTAATCTATATAGTTGAACAGGGGGGTCATTTTTTCATTTCCAAAAAATATGGGGGGGTGCATATTTTATTGATAATGTTTTAAAAAAAACCACCGCCCCCCCTGAGACGTAATAAACGATCGGTCCCTAACTTAAAACCAGCAGGAGCAGAACTCAAAAGCGTAAAAAAAATTTACAACTTTATCATATTTTGCATGCCGCCGGAGAACATTTGGTGAAAATTTGATGAAAATCGGATTGATAGCGCGCAGTAGCGATTTTCCGCAAAACTCGAAAAAGGGTGTCCTGTAACCTTAACATTTTATTCTCCATGCATGATCATATACCTGTGCTGAGTAAAGGTATCGAAATTTTAGAAGAAGAAAGATATATCAGGTTAAATAACGAAATAAACCAAGCACTGTTAACCGCGAGTCTATTATTTGAAGTGTAAAGTGTGTTAATTAATATACCGTGGTAGTTGTTATTATAGATTTTAAACAAGGAAATCTTTGTTAATTTAAGATATTGCGCAGCTGGTTGACGCTATATACTAATTACTATAATACAGGAATAAAATATTATAAACATTATGTGCAATGCATCAAAATACCGCACTCTGCTTTGATATGGAATGATTATAAATTAATATTTTAAACTTGTAGTTTGATGAACATCACTACAGTTTCCTTGTAAACTAACTAACCATAAAAACTCTAGCCAAAAGGAATAATAGGGGAATTAATTTAACTCTCTGAAAATAACAGTGTATTACATACAGGCGAAGGCGATCGTTACTAGGTGACTTTGGCACCTTTCTCTGGTTCGAGAAACAATAATGGATTGAAACACTTTTAAATTAGACAATAAATAAGCAACTATTAAATTTTATTGAATATTAAATATCTTAAAAAATATGTAAGATTCTTCATGCCCTATTTTTAAATGCGAAGTAGTTTTTGATCAAATTTGGCCAGTTGTGATAAAATGGTTATTTAATATGTGGGCAAAATAGCACGTACGCGCACGTGGGCAAGTTGACAATTTCCTCACAAATGTTAATTTTCTTTTTGTTTGATGAAATTGATGTCTGTTTATTAACATTGGTCATAACAACTGTTCGAGACACACGCTAGTAGCGGAGTTCTCTTATAGCTTTGACAGCGAAAAACTTCGGCGCGAAAAAGTTGGATCAAATCCCACTTTTTTACGGTTCGCCTGAAAAAATTTGCCTAGTCGAAAATGGGCTTAAATTAGCAAATTGTGGCGATGACATTAGGGGATATTGGCATATTGCCCCTCCCAGTAGGTCTTAATCTCATTAATGGTAAATTTCAGGATTTCGGGCATCTCACCCGATAGATTTAGTTGGTGAAGGGTTTTTGTAGATGGAAAATTCCAGTGTAATTCTTGCACCTCACTTGACCCATAAAGCCCGAACTATAACTATACTGGGGACTAAAGGTTCTGTTTAGCTCTAATAATGTACAAAAAATTACACAGTTCGATTGGAGTTAGTGCTCGACAACTGGACTTTGTAAGCTCAGTTGGTTTGAGAGTAACATACACTGTACTTCACACACGAACATCTGTAACTAGGGTGGTAACATATTTGTCGAGTTTTTGTTGATTTGGTCTATGTTTTGTTCCGCCATTATGCCAATATATTGTAGTATCTCACGCTGCATTGCGTGGTATATTGTACTATCTCACGCTGCACTCATGGATTTGAGTGAAATATGCCGCAAGAATCGAAGTTCCCCCGCCCCCACTAAACAATATTAGCATCATAAAAATATGCAGGAATTTTTATTATTTGCTTTTTATTCATTTTCGTCCGTATGCTATATTTCATGATTAGTTAAATCTAAGGTGGCGCAAACATGGAAAGCCTTTTTAAATTTTTACCACATAAGAGCTACAATACGTTTGGTTTGGTGTTTCTTACTTTATTTGTATCAATCGGCGTGGTTATCATTGGAATCGCCAGTGATTTTGAATCGAAAGCGACGTTGAAATGTAACCCGGACGAAGCCCTCGCGAGCGACTTGTCAACAAGGAAGTATATCGAAACGCGATGTTATCTCAAATACGTGCAAGAATTTTACCCAACTTTCCCACTTTACGTCCTATTTGTGATAAATTTTGGACTTGTGCTCCTACTTAGTTTTATCTACGCTTATTCGGTGAAACATCGCGTGGAAATATTTGCAAACTCTCCAAGTGGAACGGCGAGTGGCGCCGAACACGAAAGCCAGCCACTGTCTGGCATTATTTCACAAGCAGCTTCAGACCCAATGGCACACCAAAGCTCAACCCGTCATTTTGTTTTCACGGTATATTTGTCGCATCTGATCATTTGCCGTATATTACCACTGGCAGTATTTGCATCCTTGCTATTAAATTCATCGAATTTTCCTGTCAAATTTCATTGTCATTGGCCGATGAACTCTATGAGTTCTACACACGTAAACCTAACGCAAACGAACATTTCAATTGTGGAGTGCACTTTTCCTATGGGCCAAAAAAAAGAAAAAGTATCGGCTACCGTCATAACAATAAATGTACTTTTCAGTACAGAAGCATTCATTGAGCTTGCTTTTCTGTTGTGGTCAACATGTAAAGATCATAGTCTAATGGGTGACATGAAATTTTGTTGCGTTTACCTTTTGAGAAAACGAAACAGAATTACAAAGTTAATGAAAAATATTAGGAAGAACGTGTCTCATGGCGTATTTTATTTGCATGATGATTTTGGAGAGCAACGTTTGACACGTCGAAAACTGGAAGAAATTTATATCAATCTCACAATTCAGGAGGGAAGGGAAGCCACCTGGTCTTCCAGAAGAAAGTTTCAAAATAGGCATGAAACATACGAGGCACATTTAAAACCACCAGTTGATGCAACCACCCTAACGACAACAGCAAATTTGTTTAAACCCACCGGTGCTTCCGAAAACCATCCTAGGACTATTCTTGTTGTCGGTCGACCTGGCATTGGAAAGACTCTCTTGACGAAAAAAATATTGCATGAATGGCAGCAGCAATCACTCGAATTCTGGCATGGTAAAATAGTAATTTTAATACGTTTTCGTAATTTTCAACAGGAAAAAACAAGTCTTCGAGAAATGTTGCGCCATTCTGATGGACTCAACATGTCATCAGCTGATTTCAATTGTACATATGAATATATTTGTTTAATGCCACGTAATGTTGTTCTTATTTTTGACGGACTGGATGAACTCAAATTTTGACAATGAATTCATAACTCAGGAAAGAACTGTAAATGGTCACAATGAAATTATGCATATATTCCAGATTTTTAAACAGCTAGTGGAAAGCGAACTGTTGCCCGATCTAACAGTGTTAGCTACATCACGACCAACGGCAGAACACATATATACACAATTATCATTTGATCGAGAGGTTGAGATCTTGGGTTTTCGTGAGGAACAAATAAAAGACTATGTTGAAAAGTTTTGCCGTAATGACATGGGCAAGGCTATAAAGATGTGGGATTTTATCAAGGAGTCACCAGAGCTTTTGAGCTTATGTTATATACCTGTTAATTCCTATATCATTTGTTTAACCTTAATAGAAAACATTGACGTTCACCAAATAGAAGAAGACGGAAGTCAGACTTTCCAGAGCAATGCCCCAGGAACAATTACAGAGTTGTACAAAAGAGCTATAAAGATTTTACTATTCAGGCACCATGCAAATTACAAAGATAAGCCAATTCCAAAAGATTATATTATCGCAAAGCTCCCAGGGCAGTTTCAAAAAGACTTGGAAAAACTCAAAGAAATTGCTAGAAATGGAATGATGAAAGATCAGCTGATATTTGAGTTTGAAAGTGGTGATAATTATGTTGCTGATTTATCATGTACTGGTATATTCAATAAATTGGAGGACAAACGACGTAACATATTCAGTTTTCTTCATCTAACAATTCAAGAGTTTCTTGCAGCACTACACGTGGTTGATGACATTGACAATGTTGAATCATTTTTAATTAAGCACATTGATAATCCAAAGTGGCATTTGGTAATCCAATTTGTTGCTGGCTTGATTGGAGATAAAATGAGAGAACTGAAAGAGGAAAGAAATACATCACAAAGGTATGGACAATGCCTATTATACCTTACAATAATACGAATCTTAAAAGATTACATACTTTGCAAAGTAAGCCTTAAAAGTGCAAACGAGTAATGATTTACAATCAGTAGTGACTTACCCGGTAAACCTCTTTCCCGGGACTTTTGTATGAGGACGAGGCGAGGCACGAGAAAGCCCTGGTCTGGGCCGGTCAATTTTGCATTCTGATTACAAGTTGAAAATAACAATTCAAAATGTGTATTTTTATGATTCTTGTGAGTACGAGAATGTTTTGCAAAATAATCTTTCGAAGTAAGACGTTTTCCCGACTGCATGATTTACTTTCGCCTTTGCTGGCTACAAAACATAAACGCAGTGTCGACGTGAGCCGTGATGTTTTCTGACAAAGCAAGAAACGTTTACTTAAGAAATAGAAAACGAGTCGCGTGCGTTTATAGTGTGATAATGCACGCGGGGAATGTTGGGAGAATACGAGAGAAGAGTGTAAAACACGAGGCGTAGCCGAGTGTTTTACACGCTTCTCGAGTATTCTCCCAACATTCCCCAAGTGCATTATCTCACTATAAACGCACGAGACGAGTTTTTCTATTTCTTTTATAATATAAGTAAGAGATATTATACTTAGTAATTTTACTCAAAAGATCGACGTTGAAATTCTCCTAACATGTACTCAGTGACGTCACGCGCATGCTTTTGCTGTCCCTTGAATTTTTAAGCGAGCGAAAGGGCAAAATTGCCAAAACATATTGGTATTCCTGTATCTTTTTCAAGTTTTTTCTCGGCTATTTTGTACGCTTTTCCCAAAACTTATCGAGACAACAACAAAATTCGACAAATGCCACGTAGAACTATAGAAATTTGCTTTATTTCTTTGGTCCATTCCTTCTTGCTTTCTGGTAATTTTTGTATTATAAAAGCTTTATAATTTTGTTTATATTTTT